GCAAAACACATCTGCATCTCTCAGGAGGACGATGGTGTAGGGTTAGCTACACCTCTCTAAGCAGCACCTGCAAGGCTCAATCAATATACATTCCAACCTTTTCACCCTCAGGCAAATCCAGAAAGATGTTAAAGAACATTAGGGGCAAGATGATAAGGAGGCCTTTTTTCATACGTCTACTTAAATTGTAAGGGTTCAATATGTCCCGACTTCAGATTTTGTTGCTCAATTTAGTTTTTGAACACACACTTTTTCCAAAAACAAAGGCAGGCCTGTTTTGGCCTTTTTAAATTATTTTTGAAAATAATATTCAAAAGGACAATTCCTTTACTTCTGGTTTTTAAACAAGGTTTGGTTGATGTACCAAATAAAACATTGACATTTTTGCTGATTATAAAAATCTAATTTAAGGGATCTACTTAATCTAGAATATTCTATTCCACAATTGTCTGCGTTTTGTAGACTCACCAACATTAGATTGTCTAGATGCTAAAAAACTATCAAATGGCCTTCACCGCATAGGAATACCACTTCGGCACTGTTTTGTGGGGAGAAGAGATGTTACGAAACTCAGAAAGACCTAATAACTGCATCAGAACGGTTCAACGATCACAATAGACGCTTAAAAATGTGTTGTGCCAGGTAAATGTGCACACACACTGTTTATAAGTCTGTCGGCAGCAATAAAGTTACCATCTGTTTCCAGCCCAGGCCATTAGTGGAGGAAGAGTGCGAGGTCAGTGAGTGCATCGGAAGGAGGGAGAGGAGTGTGAAAACCCACACTAAGATAGTGATAGATAGCATGTGTGTTTGTGCACAACATATTCAGGATGAGGTCAGCCAGAGTTCCCCGTCAGTAAAATGTGAGGGTTCAGGTTTTTTGTTTCAACTGCGCATGCTACAAGACAAAGCAAGTTGGTCTCCAACCATCTCCTTATTCTAAAATAATCCCTTGTTTTGGAGGAGAATCTTTTTTTTTTTTTTTACAGACTGTGCGGTTTTGCTTGGAAAAGTCTTGTCATCCAGTTTTCCCGTCTGAAATCCAGGTCTTTGGTTTCTCCTCACAACATCCCAATTTTTCCACATGTGTAACTGTTGCAGAATTGATTGCCTGAGTGGAGCAGATATCGACTCCCAACTACTCATCCAACACCCAATATTGTCAAAGAGAATGAGCTGTTAGCATTATGTGCTGAAATTATTTTTGGAATCGATAAACTCTCTCTCTTTCTCTCTCTCTCTCGGACTCCTAGTCAGCAGCCAGAGAGAGCTCAGGAAAGGGCCTAAGTGGTAAGACAAACACCGTTTGATTGGGTTACCAGAGCCAGTCCTGTTTAGACTGGCTGCCTTCCTTCATACTAATAATACATCAGCTGATTGCATTGAGGTTTTGACTTCGCAGCAACCCCTCCTTCCATTTACTTATAGCAACCATCTCAGAGTTGATACGAAGGCAAGCAGACGCAAACCCTTTTAACAAAATACCTCAAGCTGGACAATAAGACACCGTCTGTGCATTTCCTTGCTTGTTTTCTTTAAAAGAACTGAGGCAGCCAGAGGGTCAGTGAGTTCACCACCGTCACGTCAGAGTTGCTACAACAGAGCTAGCGGCAAGCCTGAAAAGGCTTGCGGGCTTTGTCACAAAGTGACACAGCTCAACATAGATAATATGGACCAGGTGTACTTTCTATGGCAACAAAAAAAAAAAAAAAACATTCAGCTCAGTCGGGAAAAATAGGCAAAAGTGGCAGAAAGTGCAAGTTAACTACTTTATACTGGGTGTCAAATGTTGGCTGCGTTTCTCAAAATGGCTTTTCAACGATATTAAAGGGGAGTAAGTCTTTGACTGTTGTCCAAATGGAATATTATCGTGCTGATTTTATTTTATTATGCGATTGATTTAGTGCTTATTGTGACAGCGTCCTTCTAAAGCAAGTAGAGCACGGTTTAGTGTTCTCTGATTTATTGCATTAATGAGGAGTAATAGACTCAATGGGTCTGTAATGACAGTAAATTACATTGCTGAACAAAGGAATTCCATATAATCACACTTTATTGCACCGTCTTTCATTGTTGCAGGAATATTGAACATAAAGAAAGCTTCAAACTCTTCGCAGCTCTGAAGACTTGAAGGCATTTATCTTTAGTTTAACAAGGATGTCAGCAGTTTTGCTGCATCTTGCTGACAAGACAGACATATTAAAGCATCTCACTATCTCCTCCCCATCAAGACAGTTATGTAGGCCAAGAGACCCATTTGCATTTCACTCTACCCTTGCTTGTTCCAAATTTGATTCTGTAAAGACACTGATAAGTCTGAGAAAAGGCTAATAAGAGCCTTTTTGAAGCTGTGCCTAAATTTAGGTCACCCCAGAATCGCTAAACAACCATTTCCCCCCTCTGAAGAAGACAGCTGACCGCATATTCCCTCCTTTTGCGGAAAATGGCCAAAAGCTGCTGCATTAAGCCGAACGGGCCATAGAGACTCATTTTGGTCAAAATCTGGCCCGGGGTTCTACAATACTTGTCCAAATGGGCCGACACTGCAGATGGTTTCGGCTACTCTGTGTTACCAGCCTTATGATTAAATTTGGCAGCTACAAATATCCATTTAATTTTCATGAAGCCAAAGTCTGCAGTTTGTTTCTGGTAGAGCTGCTGTGGTAGAGCATTCGTGAGCTTAAATCAGATGCATATTTTGATACATTTACCAATTCCAGATTAGGGAAACTTAGTAATTGTAAAGAAATAATAATAATATAAAAACTGTTTTGATGCCACATTAAATTTACATTTTAAATAAAGCTATTGGTGTTTAAGTTGTAAATATATCTATGTATCAAAAGGCTGGCATACAGAAATGGAAAAACTTTGCTCTCAGGTTGAGTCCTGTAACTGCTCACTGCTCTCAGTCTACATTTCACTTGGCATATTTGCATCAATCTACATTCATTGTTGCAGTGATGTGCATAAATGCACTTGAGTGGACAATTTTGCATCAGTTTTTTTAAAGACACTATTGTCAAAATAAATGACACCCCCGTTTGTGCAGCGTTTGTCCAGGTTTGCTTTGGGAAGCACAAACCAACATCATTCCTGAAAACAAACTTACAACTTTATGGTGCATTCAAGGAACAACTTGTAGATTAGGAAGCATACAATGGTCTAAAAATGGAATCTGCAACTCTCCAGTTTCTAAGTACATGTCAAAAATTATTGGTGGGGCTGATGTGCCATTAGATTTCCCTTCCTAGTCCAGTGTAAGGATTCAAATGACCGGTAGGGAAATTCTTCACACAGCAAAAAGGGTTGAAATTAGCTAAAAGTAAAAAGTCTTTTCAGTAACTTGCAAAATATACAGAACTTTAATGTTAATCGGTGTCAACAGGCAATAGTCCAAACTGAGAAAAACAAAACTAATTTAGACCAAGCAATGCAATTGGATTTATCTTATAAGGAGCTCAGTTAAATCTTGTATATGAATCTTCATAGATTTCAGTAAGCAAACAGGACTTCAACTTCTTGTACAACACTACAACAGAACTGCCATCTTACCCAGCAAATGAGATCAACCAAACATCAGGATAGTAGCAGAAGCTCAGAAAGACAATGACTAACAACATGATTAACAATTAAAAAGAAATCTTAGTGACATTTATCCAGAGCAGCATTAGCAATATTCTAACCAGAGGAACATATGGATTAAATAAAAGAGCATAACTGATTACCAGCATAACTGATTACCAGCCAAGACCAAATGATAGAAAAAGAGAAGAATAAGTTAATCGCCAAAACAAATAAAACATGCTGAGGAACAGAAGCTGCAGCTTACCGGTCATTTGTAAAATCCTCTGCATTGTCATTCAAAGTGGAGTAAGCTATCCCTAGATTGTTATGATCAAATTTATCACCACTTTCCCTTATTGTCTTCTTCTTGATTTTTTTATTGGCGGTTGGCAAAAAACATCTGGTATTCATTACCACCACCTACTGGTTTACCTGCATATTCCAGGCAGGAGAAAAACTTCAAAGACAATGCTAATTTGGTTAAATGTTTTAGTTTTCCCTAGCAACAAAATGCAATTGGCTAATTAGCCAAACTAAGAGGGCACTTTGATCGATGTCTCAGAAGAGAACAGACGAGTATGTCGAAGGAAATTCACTATTTAATGTGAGTTAGTTTGTAGGGTTATGCAAATAAGTAATTCAGATTACATTTCAGCTCACAGTATGAAGGAAAACTGGCTACAAATTTTAAATAATGTTTGTAGATAATTTTTGTAAGTCAAGCACTGTGTACCAGTCAAGTACAGAATAAAGATGTCGGTGGTTAATACTGTGCTTTAGAAAATCTAAGATTATTAGTGGATAATCCAGTCCAAATATCACAAATCAAATTATTTTTTATGATTTGTAAAATAAATTTTCCAGATATCAGAAAGCAGTGAATTTCCCTTTAAGCTCCACACTGCCAAATCAGAAACCACCTTTAACCTTGTTGGTCGATGATTTGTTCAGTAGATGGATGAGACCTGACTCCTGCCAAAGCCTTTGACAGTTTTTTTCTTTTTTTTTTTGCTGACAAATGTATAGAATGCTACAAAAACTGCTGCAGAAAATCCATAGATTTGAGTTTGCAGAAGTGTCAAATTTAAAAAGGGAAATTCAAAGAAATTCCATTTGCATCAACCTGAACCAATATTATCCTACATGTATCTAACCTGCAAGAGTTTTAAAACACCTCTGCAGAAATTTTATGCCTCTTGGATAGTGAAACGTGTGCACTCGTGCATTTTTAATATGCCATTTTGAGCCAACATTAAAACTCAGCAGTACCGTCCTTTCTAGTACCAACAGGCTTTTTTAGCTCTTCATTACAACAGTAGGCCAGCGGGAGTTCATGTGCTCTCTGTGATTTTCCCTCTCATTAATCTGCCACACATCTCTCTTCTCTCTGCTGCTTCATGTCTCTCTTCACTACCCTCCTCCCGCACAACCAGGAAGCCTCGTCCCGTCTCCCAGCTCGTCTCCCAGCAGCAAGTAACGCAGCAGTTTGTTTTACCATCACAGCCCAAAAAGGAAAAGAAGGAGAGGGTCGAGAGGGACAAGAGTGAAAGAGAGCCAGCACCCAAGAAGAACAGCCACAAGAAGATGAGGTAAACAAGTCAATTCTGGTTTTAGGGGTCAGTATGAACCTTGCACTAGAACTAAGGATTATACATCATTTACGCTTTGGTCCCCCTACTAGGCCAAGATTAAAAAATATTGACCGGAGCAGTGCCCAGCATCTGGAGGTGACAGTTGGAGACCTCACGGTCATCATAACAGACTTTAAGGAGAAGGCCAAGCCCTCGTCCACATCCACTCCTTCCTCCAGCTCGGCCTCGTCGGCCGACCATCACAGCCAAAACGGCTCCGGCTCAGAAAACACGGAAAAGAGCCTTTCCCACTCTTCCGTATCCCGAGGAGAGGGAAGCTCAGTAAACGGGGAGTCCCTCTGATTCCCCCCCAACACCTCACAGGAAACCTGCGTCTCCAGGGCCCTCTCCATTGTCACTAGTGGAAAAACTTTTTGGGTGGGAAAGGACGATGTTTTGAAAATTCTGTTTTTGAAAGGTAAGATTTGTTGTTTAGACACCCAAAAGATTCTCCACAACATTACGAAGACATGTTTTGCTGAACTGACAAAAGTCTGCTGCTGGAATATGGACTTCCAAAAAGTTTGGTCCTAATGAAGAACTTATTAAAACTTGGGACAAACTTTGGACAGAGCACTCGATCACCTTGAGTTGAGATTTAAGGTTTCTTGTAAGAACTGCACAGTCCTACTGTTATCATCATCATCATGGTCAGCAGCTTCTTCAATCCCAACCTGGAGATTTCCGGTTTAAAAACTCAAAGCATGAGCTTTCTCTGTCTCACCAGCGACTCTCGAACCCTACAGCGAACCTTTACCGTTGATCTGGAAGCTTCTTTCTAGCACAACTGTTTATTGCAAAATACCTACAGGAGATTTGGTAATGAAAGCATGATTGAATATGTAAAAGTCGGGTGAAAGTCACACTGATCTGAAAGGTAAAACCTGGAGTTGAACAATGTTGCAAACAATCTGCTTTTTTCCTCTCTACAGAGAGAGAAAGTCAATACAAGGTGTTGTAGGGACTCCCTTCACTAGACACATCAAGACCTAAAGTACATTTGTACTTTGAATCTCAGAGTAGAAACATTCCATCAGGATGCCTGTTATGCTGCCACTTTTGTTTTTTTTGTTTGTTTTTTAAACATTGCTATAGTAAGAAGTCAACATCCACTCACGATCATGAATATCACATTCATTTTGGGCTTTGTGATTAGAATACAAAATAGAGGTTTTAAGAAGTTGAAGTATTCAGAGGTAGTCCTTCTTTTCTGCCAGTCCCACTCACATCAAAACATAAACGGAGCCTCAACATGATGCTTCCTCCACCTTTCTTGACAATTGGTACTGTATTTTTTCCTCCAAGCTTACTTCTTGTCATTGTGACTAAAAGGTTTCTTAATTCTCTAGGACTATAAAGCTATCCCAAACACACATCAAGCCTCGTTTTGGAAAAGTTACCTCGACATTTCTGAATGGTAACCCAAAGCCTTGACCTCTACCTTAGCAAACATATCTAGATTAAGATTGAACCTCTAAAATTCACACTTGGCCTGTGAAGAGTGGATGCAAACTTCTTACTGCGGAGCCGGCATGAATCGTACGTCACAGCGAAGGCATTCCCTGATGTCAGCCTCTTTCAGCACCATGACAGTCCTTGTGAATCTTCTGGGGAATGTGGCGACTGGTCGAGGTGCTGACTCAGCCTCTGATTCCACTCGTTTTTGGCCAGCTGCCTCCACCTTGATGCACTACACCAGTCTAAAACTTCGTTCGTGCTCCTCCCCCCGCCCCCTCAACCTTTTCTCTACAAAAATTTAATAAACTGTTAACATTCATAATGATACACCAGGGATCCTACTTGTCAAATTCCCTAAGATGGAGATTTATATTTATAGACACATATTCTAAAGACTGGAGATGTGCAAATATGCAACATTTTTGTGCTTTTCTTGAACTGGAGCTCGTTTCAAACCAGGGTTACTGTTAAAAGTCGCTGATCGCACAAGAGGAGGAAGATACATCAGCTAAGTGTAAAAGGTGGTAAAGTGACTGAAGCTGTAAATGACTCCAGTATGCTTCTTGCAACCCGTGTGATCTGCAGAGAGGGCTCAAGTCCTTGTGAAAAAGCACAAGAAGCCCATTTTTACCACTTGACGCAAGACGCGAGAGAAAAATAAGAGTGGACTTCCCGACACGAACTTTGACAAAGCGAGGACTTCAGAAACTGAGAAGCTTTAGAGGACAATAATCTCCAGCAGAACCACCACAGATGAACTCCACCGTAACCTCTAAGACCTGTAGAATAGTTGAACAGAGAAAATAGCTTTCTATAATATTCTACTACAATGTTTGGATGTGGTTATATTCATCATATCAGTGTTGTCGAGATTTTTACATTTTAGCTCACAGCCAGAGAAGTGTCACAGCATGATATTATTAAAGTCTTGATATATTGTGGAAAAGGCAGCGTCTCTTAGTTGTTAGGACTGTTTCATGTGTCCATTGCATCCACCACTCTAGCTGGGACTAGGTGTGTGAACTCAAAGATTCATTTGTGGCAAAAATGGAAAGAAATTGCAACTGTATCACTTATTGGTAGTGGGTTTTTTTTGGTTTTTTTTAATTATTATCATTCGTCATGCTTTACCATGCTCCTTTGTTTAAACTGTGTTGTTTATTATGTGTCTAAAGAAACTTACCAAATTAAAAACAAGAAAAACTCGTCTTGCGTATTGTACACACACACACCCAGCTATTATTTCAGACATGCAAGTGCCTGTAGGCCCCAGCCTTCTTTTTCTTTTTCTTTTTCTTTTTTTTTTTTCCCAACTTGGCTACCGGACTGGGAATAACTATTACTGCTTCTGTTTTCCTCACAATACACGAAAGATCAGTTTTCATCAAAACAAACATTGCTCAGTCTCAGGGCAGATGAGAGAACTCCAAAGCACAGCAAGCTCAAGTAAACATTCGTTTTATATATTTTTGTGTACTTATATTTTCACAACTTTTGATCAAAATGTCTTTTGTTTTAACGCACCTGTATCGATTGTCGATGCAATTTTCTCCGAACTTAATGATAATTCAATTGACCTTCAAGTCCGTCTGTCAAACGTACCCCACTCATTGAGAGCAACTCTCTTAAAGCCAAACTGAATGAGTCCTTTCAGGGAACCCTATTCATTTTTCGCTCCCACCCTTCCCCCTCCAGAGGGTCTCCACTGGGGAGCGGTTTCAGGTTAAACACCGCGAGAACAGAAGATCTTCTTCCACTGTTCCCCTTCAGAATAAAGGCATGTGAGCCAAAAGCTGAAGTGAGTTTTAGTTGAGTATTATAAGAGTAAAAAAAAATCTGACTTTTCAAGCCGTTCAAAGTTGACCATTCCTGATCACTTTGTCGATAACCACCAGGAAGAGAATCAAGAGATTGTGACTCTTCTATAAATTTTCTGATTTAAGCGTCTTTTTTTACTTGCATTAGAAAAAAAGATGCATTTGGAATTAAAACTAGCAAACATCTAACAATTTAAAATAATGAGCAACACAGGAAGTACAGTTGCGAGGGTTAGTAATTGAACATCTGAGATAAAGAAATTTAAAATCTTTGAACATCAGTAATAGAAGAAAATATGATACAATCATTTACAATGTTTACCGAAATTAAAATAGTAATTAATACAATGTATGTTGTGCTTAGTGTTTGTAGATTGTATTATTTTTATGTTTTTGTGGTGTAACAGATACCTGTTGTAAATTAGACAGACTCAAGAGCTTTTTCCTGTATAAATAAAGGATTGTATAAATAAAATCTACAAATGCAAAAGAATAATAAGGTCCACTTAATGCTTCATGAAATAAACGATTAAAACAGTTTAGCTTAAAATGCTTGTGGAGGTAGTTGTTGATCTTCAAGATTACCACCAGAGGGCGACATTGTCTTCGTTCGATTCAGTCAAAAGGGTCTTATTTTCCAAAGCGCAACAGGAAGAGCTTCCGCAAGTGGTCTAACTTCACCGCTAACCAAAAATCAGAAAACGTTAGTTTCTATGTCATGACTTTAGTTCCGAGATGCGTTTTCGAACACCATAATGCGGCGTTACATACGTGCACTGCTGTTGTGCACGGTGTTCGCCGTGTTTTCGGGCTTGTATGTTTACAGCAAGCTGTTTAACACGGACGTCTCGGCCGGAGGACACGGAGCGAGGAGGGCTTTCATCCCACTGAGAGGCACCGGAGGCAGGCGGGGGTCCGCGGTCAGAGCCGGGCCCCAGAAACCGCACTGGTACAATAGGTAGTTCGGGGTATTATTATTTGGGAATTAGGTGGGCTACATTTAAAAACGTGTTCAAATTGCATGTTTGAAAGCGTAGTTTGAGATCCAAAAGTTCAATCCGAGAGATGCATAGGAATGTGGCAGTGATTAAGCACTCGTTGCAGAAACATCAACTTGATCTATATTTTTTTAAAATGACTTTTTGTAATAAATAGATCTTACATAATGAATGTGTTTCAGACATTTTTACTGCACCCATTATTTTGTGTAAGAACACTGGTGTTATATTTATAGATGCCTTTAGGGGTCGCTGTTATTGTTCTTTAAGTCTGAATTAATTCAGAAATCATTCATTTCTTGTGTAATTTATTGATCTGTATCGACAGACTGGTCAAACTACAAAGTGTGGTTTTCTAGTGAAATCAAGCAAAGAGAAATCTGAAAAGTGTGCTTTTTGGGGGGATATGTCTCTAAAGATCTAGAGTGAAATTCTTATCCATTCCTTTTGGTATATTAGCTGAAATTCAGCCAGGTTGGATAGAGAGCCTCCATGAGATCTAACCCACACCACAATGCTGCCACCACCATGCTTCATTATGGGGATGGTGCATTCAGTGGACATGTTAGTTTTCAGTTACACGTAGGGGTTTTGCATGTGGGCCAAAAAGTTAAATTTCGGTCTCATCGGATCAGGGTTCTTTCTCCATGTCGCCATATTTGTTTGCTTATTGACCTTTTTTGTGAACAAGCAAAAACAAAACAAAAAACAAACAGAAATAATAATGGTATAAGTTTAATCTCTTTAGAATACCTCTTTCTGCAATATAAAGCTCAAGTCTTTCCCTTCAGGTATATCATGCGTCAAAGCGGGCTGGTGGAAGATGCGGGGAGCGGCGTTCGGAGGAGACCCAAGCCCACCATGCACCTGGCCGTGGTGGCCTGCGGGGAGAGGCTGAAGGAGACCCTCACCATGATCAAATCCGCGGTGCTTTTCAGCGTCAAGCACCTCTACCTGCACGTCTTCGCTGAAGATCAGCTCCACGCCAGCTTCATGGGGACTGTGAGTTACGTTCCGTGTTACCATCGGGGAACTTTGCCTTTCCTACTGCTCGTCGTCAGCACTTTGTACCGATGCGTTTCAGCTGGAGTCGTGGCCCGATTCGTTCCGCTCGAGGTTCAACTACACCGTGTACTCCATCAGCTTCCCCAGCGAGAACGCCGGCGAGTGGAAGAAGCTCTTTAAACCCTGCGCCTCTCAGAGGCTCTTCCTACCCGTGAGTTGCTCAGAGAAGAAAATATATACTTGGAGCAGCCTCGAGGTCAACATCTTTGTGATGGGATTTGTGATTTGTCATTTTGTAGCTGATCTTAAAGGACATCGACTCGATCGTGTACGTCGACTCCGACATCCTCTTCCTTCAGCCCGTAGATGGCTTATGGGACTTCCTGTCCCAGTTTAGTCCTTCCCAGCTGGCGGCCATGTCCCCCGAACACGAGGAGCCCCGCATCGCCTGGTACAGCCGCTTTGCAAGGCACCCTTTCTACGGCAGGACGGGTATCAACTCTGGGGTCATGCTTATGAACATGACAAGGATGAGAAGCACCTTTTTTAAGGTGAGCTTCCTTCTTTTGACCACAAGAGGGCCCCATTCTCCTGTGTCTGATGTCCACCAACGTCTGAAAATGCTCGTTTGTGTTGACAGAACGATATGACCCGAGTGGGACTGCGCTGGGAGGAGCTGCTGATGCCTCTCCTTCAGAAATACAAACTGAATATTACCTGGGGAGACCAGGACCTTCTCAATATTATTTTTCATCATAATCCTGGTAAGCGTGCACATCCTTATAGTACGGATTCTGCACTTTCAGATGATGCATTTCAATTAAAAGCTTCAAAATTGAACGCATACTTTGGTAATACCATAGATTTAACCAGTGAGTGTTACCTCTATTTTTTCTGTCCACCTGCTCTCAGAGTTTCTGCTGGAGTTTCCATGCAAGTGGAACTATCGCCCTGATCATTGCATATACGGCAGTAACTGTGCCTCGGCCGAGGAGGACGGCATCTACGTCTTGCACGGAAACAGAGGGGTTTACCACGACTACAAACAACCGGCTTTCAGAGCCGTTTACGAGGCAATAAAAAAGGTTTGTAAAGTTGTCATCAAGGGCCTGAGACTGCCAATGAACAGGTTTTATTTTGCATTTCTGTGTTGATTCGGAAGTTGCGTTTTACAGTATTTTTCTAGATCAAAGACGGTTTCCCGTGCGCTTCAGATCCCCCAGTAGACTCTTTTGCTCGTTTTCATACTTTGCTTCAATTCAGATCACTAGATTTCATATCTCGAGGTATTTACCAACTAACCTTGCATTTCTAGGTTGTATAACACTTATTTCAAAGTTGGTCTAGATAAAACGCAGCTAATTCAACTGACGTATTACCTATATGGAAAAGAAACCAAAGACATATCTTTATAGTGTCAGACAACAGAATTGATAGAAACCAAACATATCACCGTACTTGAGGATGGGTGGACATTTATCGTATCATTTATTTATTGTGAAAATTTTCTTATAAAAATTTTGATTTATTGTCTCAAATTTCAATTAATGATTAAAAAACTGGGAGTTTTATTGTAAATGTTCTTACTATTTGCTTCATTGTTTGTTCCACAAGAGAATCAACAAATATCAGTAAATGAAACCATTATTTAATGTAGTTAGTGTGTGCAGATTAGTGATATAAGTCAAACTTCTTTAAGAAGAACCCCATTTCAAATGGAAATGTTTTACAGCAGCATTTACAAAAAAAGTAAAAGTAGTACTAAATAGTTTTTTCATCATAATTTCTATTGTTTTCACAAAATGTCATGATAAAATTCTAAATACAACTAATATGTAGCTTGAAAACAGTTACTAGAGTATTTTTCTATTCCAAGTTTGCCTTCCTTCAGAAAAAAAGAAAAGTCCCTCGCTTGTAAAAAGAAAAAAAAAAAAAGTCTCCTGGGTACATCAAAGTTTAAAGAGCGGATTGACAAGGCCACTCTAAGTCTTGTTGGTTTAATTTAGCTCGACAACTGATGAAAGCCGTTTCCACCCTCGGTGACCCAGCTGCTGTCCTCCGCGACCTCCTGCTTCTCTTTCCGGGATGAGATTTTGGATTGCTGCTGACCCCAAAGAGCAAAAGGGCTTTAGAGTTCCCAATTGCCTCGTGCAGGAAAAACACCAATCTTCATCTTCGGCAGACGCTCGGATTGAAAGCTAATTTCCCCCATGAGGATGTTTATGAGTTGCTTTCCCGCTGTTTAATGATATCGACGACACAAGTGGCATTTACTTAATGAAGCCATCAACACTGCGAGTCTCATTGCTTTCCCATTGAACGTAGATCAAACTGATGGTTTATCCATACCTTACCCATAGCCTGGAGTTAAGACTGTAAGCTTTACAGGACGGGATCAATGACACTACTGGACACGTGTACTACCGGCTGTGCACATGCACATTTTTTCCCCCCACTCCAAACACTGCTTTTTGTTTTTTTTTTTATAGATTTGTGGTCAACTCTGATTTGCCAGGAGGATCTGAGCAAATTGGTTAATCTTCTGTGTGGTTAAAATGTCTGGGCAGACTATTTAATCCATTTCAGTTTGCTTAGATGCAGCGGTACATTTATTTATTTATTTTATTTTTTTTTTTTTTGCACCTCATAATTGATCAGAAAGGAGTGGAAGAACATCATTACAGAGTTCCTGCTCGACAACAGAGAAATGTTTCCAAATGTGTTCATGTATCCGTCAATATCTACTTTCCTCCCTCCGTCATCGATCTGTAGCTCCATCCATCTCAAGTTTGGTGCAAGTTTCCACCGTAACCGTCCAACCATGTTTAGTTTTACCCTTTTATCCAGAATGATTTACAAATAAGGACATTTAATATCATTGGTAGCATTTCAATGTTGTCATTCCAACAAATGAAAAGAGTGATTTTCTGTAGCGTGGCGTCACTGCTGGCCGACAATCCCTCGACCAAGTCGTGACACTCATGTCAGCAAAAATTATTTTAAAGTAGTAATAATAATAATAAAGCCAAAGGTTTAAATAAATACACTTTAAGACATACTGATACACCTCTACTTGTTGTCTGCAGTCCTCCTTCCCCTCTCTTCGTAGCAAAAAGTCTGAGAAGCAGCTGTTCATTTTTTATTTTTTTTTACCATTGGCGATGCATTTGGAGCGCGATTCCAGGCACGGACAGCCACACAAAAATCAATAACACCAACTGTAAATGCAACTTTATGAGCGACGGGCCTGTCTGGCTTCGGGCTCGTAAAAAAAAAATGCCGATCTCTTTGCGACCCAACATCAAGGAGCCCGACCGCAAGCAAATGAGCTGGCATAAAAAATGTTAATTCCCCTTTGATTTCCTCGGAGCATTGTAAAGAGCCCTTCATTATTGGGAAATCGTGAAACCTCTACTGCCATCTCTGGTTATTACTGGACACTAAGCCTATAGAATTACCCGGAGACCGACTGTGTAGAGCAG